GGGAGAACTGAAGGCCGGTTGGAGAGGACAATTTACTTTGGGAAATAGAGAAAGATAAACTGAGTAAAGAGTTTTTGGTCAGACTAGAGGAGATTTAAAAAAAAAATTTTTTAAGAAGAAAGAAGCATGCACAGTTTGGATTTTATCCTGAAGTTAGCTGAGAGCTACTGGCATTCTTTTTGAGCTGCAGAATGACATAGTGAATGAAGAATATGGGCGGAGGGGGTGGGGCGCGGGGGGGAAATTAGCCCAGCCCCTTATAGAGCAACCTGAAAAGGATGGTTGTATGGTTCGAGAAGACTTAGGAAGCAGTAAAGGGTTGAGGAGCCAAAGCAGAAGGAAGAATCACATGTGAACAGATTTTAAAACTGAAAGATTGTAGGAATAGTGTTACCTTTGGTATAAATAAGCAACTTAGGAAGAGGGGACATTCTGAAGTGAAGTTGAAGAATTGCCTTTTGCATCAGTAGATGCGAATACAGTAGGCTGTATTTGAGAATAAAGGACATATAAGTAAAAATGTTCAAGTAGACAGTGGGAGACCAGGGTTTGGATGAGAAATCAATGGCAGAGGTGCAGATTTAGAGGTTATCCACACAAATGTGACAGCAAAACCCGTCGATGCTTTCGCTATCACAAAATCAATGGACTACCTACCTTAGCACCGGAAAAAAGAGCAGAAGTACAAGAATCATATGGGTGTTCTCTGTTCCTGCTTTTTTCCAAAAGGCAACTGTTTTCCAAAGGATAGAATCAATGGGTTATTGGTGGGAGAGGAGGGACAGTTTTGCAACACTTTGGAATGCAAGGCAGAGGAGTGACTTAGGTAAAAGGAGGTCAGATCTGTTGAACACTCCCCTACAGCTCATGAAGAAGGACGACTGACTGCATTTGGTTGACCTCCCCATTAAAAATGTAAGAAACTTTGGGAATGGTGATACATTGGCTTAAATTCACTTTGTGGTATAAATAATCAATATGAGAGTGATTCCCATATTAAAGCAAGGGGGGGATTTAAGGTAAGGAGATCAGAGTAAGAAGTACCTTAGCCTTGGATTGCTCCCAAGGCAGCCCTCAGACAAGAATTTGAGTACAAACAGGCTTAATTCTAGAAAGAACCAGGAGAGGAGTGGACAGTGGGTCAGGGAAAGGAAGAAAGCCAGGGCAGGGTGCATTAGTGAGCAGGACCATGCTGGGGGCAACTAGCATTCCCAGGGTTGCTAGGAAACGGTAAGGGGTTATGAAGAACAGGTTTGGGGTTATCCCACTTGAGGGTTGAGTGGCTGGAGTACCTATCCACTGAGTCTAGGCTATTGGTGGAGGGATGCTTCTGAGGTTTAACTCCTCAGTACTTCTGGTCTACCTGTGCCTACAGTCAGAGACAGCCATCAGGAGAGAGAGAGAGAGAGAGAGAGAGAGAGAGAGCATATGGCTGGCAGGAAACAGACTTTGGTGTGCCTGAGGTCAGCAAGTACTGAGGAGATACACTGGGGCACCCACAGTGCTTTGAGAGCCAAGGATTAGAGCTGGACTGCCTACGTGTGAATTAGGCTGAATGTGCCGCTTTTGAGAATAACTCTGGGAGGTACCACTGAAAGGGCTCTGACTATTTATTCCAGTTTCACTTGCTTCAAGATTCCAAAGAGGGGCCTTGAAAATCTAAAAAACTCAAGCTGTCTGTTGGGAATCTAATATAGCTATTACCAACCATGTGTTTGTCACTCACTGCGTGCCAGACTTTGCAAAACGTGCTTTCTATATGGGGCAGGACAGGGTTTTCTGTCTCTTGCCCCACAACCTATTCTGTCCTTCTCATCCTTGGTAGAGGGTGGGGCAGATCTTTGTTACCCTCATGTACACAGGCTAGTTAGCATAATGACTCCTGCAAGTTCTTCTACAAAGACAATTACTATTAGAAAATGCTCTGCTCCAAATACTCCAAAGACCTAAGGATCTACAAGGTACTTTTTCAGGATAGAGCCAGAAATTATGGTTGCCATGATTTTGAGAACATTGCAATGTTACCATCAAGCAATCACAAACACACATTGAATCCAGAAGATGTTGTGCTGCATGTCGTTTCTTTTCCGACCATGCAGGTCCATGAGTCCTTTATTCTCCCTTCCTCTTCCCTCCCCTCTCCCCCACCTCAGTCTTCTACCTCTCTGTCTCCACTTCTTGATTCTGACTCTATTCCGGCAGCACTTTGCAAAGGTGGCTGTATTTCCTCTCCTGAACATCCCAGGTCCTACCTCTCAGGTAGCCCTCTCTTTATGATCACATTCTTGGGGTTCTGGGGTAATAACAGCTCTCTGGCTTTACTAACCAAAGTGGATGGCAGCATCCTCCATTTGATTCTTTAAACCTTGTCCACACCTTTACAGATAGTCCCTTTATTAGCCTTTACTTAAGTTACCCAATTATCTTGTTTCCCACAGGACCCTGACTGATACAGCACCCCAGATGACTATGGACACCTACGTGACAGAAATCCTGCCTTTCGCTTCTCTCTGAGTCCATCCCTGCTAAGATGCAAACAAAAATGTTAGTAGAGCTTAAAACTCTGAGGTTCAAAGTGGACCCCATCAAAGAAGAGGGACTGTGCCTGGAGAAAAAGAATTTTCAGAGAAGGTATTGTGACTTCAGTCTCATGATCAACAAATACTGAGAGCCACCAGGCATTGTTCTAGGTGCTAGGAATACAGTACAGGCAAGACAAGTTCCTGCCTCGTGGAGTTTTATTCTAATGGAAGGAGGGAGTAAGTACACACACACACACACACACACACACACACACACACACACACGCACACGCACACACACACACACGTAAAAAAGACAAGTTCAAAGAATGATAAATAGCATTTTTAAAGAACTGAAGATGGAGGAGTACTATTTTGGGTTAGATGGCTAGCAAATACACTCAGGAGTTACTGTCTAGGCTAATTGGGCATCTTCCTTAGCATAACTAAGACAACCCCTTGATGACTCCTAACATTATTGAGGGTAATTTTGAAGGAGGCTGTAGTAATGCATGAGCAGGAAGGAACAATGTGTCATTGAAATCTGGATATTAATTTTAAAGGGATTTATAATCCAGCCCCCAAATGCTGATTACACACCCTCATCATGAGATGTTTCTAGTAGTTCAAGAAAAGCTTATTAACTGAATAGTTGCTACAGTTCTTTCTACCCTTAGGGAGATTGTGACCCTGGTCAAAATGGTGTGAATAAGCTATTATTTGCTTTCTGCAAACAGAATGGAAATGACTTTGGGCCGTGGGTGTGTGAGGTTTGTCTTAGAATGGGATGGTGAGGGTGAGTACTAATATGCTAATCAACCACTGTTTGCTGGAAAGGTTTTTTGTCAATGAGCTCTGAGAGAAGCAGAATATAGTTACAGGAAGTGTCAAGATGGGGTCTATTTTACGGAAATTGGAATCAAATGCAAACATTCTGTGGTTCAGTCATTTAAACTTCTACTTAAACCTTTGGACATGTATTCACCTCTGGTCCTGCCTGGAGCCACTGTGACTTTCACATGAAATCCACTGCAAACTACTAATTATTGTCTTCACAAAAACCACAGTGCAGGCAGTAGCTGAATTCCAAAAATGGGTTTTCTGCTCTCAAGGAATAACACCGAAGGGAGAAAATTTGTAGATAGCTAGTATTCCTACTGATGAGTGTTCCCCCAAACATCAACTAGATTCCAAGACTCTCTTTTCTTTCTCTTTAGCCCATAGCTACCAGCTACTCTCGTCCAAGCCCTTTAGCTGCTTCCTCTAATAGCACTTTGACTGTAACTATGCCAGAAGTTGGTTTCTAGAGCAAGCAGGTTTCAGGCCTGTGAGAGGTATCTCAGTTGACTGTGATAACTTATGGATGGAACCATTTGTTGTGACCCTTGCCAAAGTGTTAAAACATTTATGTATGCCTGGTGTGCTTGACTTCTAAGGAACATGCTATTTACCTAATACAATAATGGAAGCTTGGTAGCATTAGGACTTTTCAAATAAATGATATGTGAAAGACAGTGGTTCTCAGACTATTTGGTCTCACTACTTCACGGTCTTAAAATTATTAAGACTCCCAAAGTACTTTTGTTTATGTGGGAAATAATATTTATTGATGATTACTATGTCAGAAATTAAAACTAAGAATTGTCTTAATTTACTTAAAAAGTAACAATAAAACATTACATGTTCATATAAAAATCACATTTTTATGTGCAATAGATATATTTTCCAAAATTAAAAAAAAAAATAGTGATAAGGGTGGCATGTTTTGCAGTTTTATGAGTCTCTTTAATGTCATATCTGGCTTCATAGAAGATAGCTGGGTTCTCCTTCTGTTTCTGTTTTCAATCTGCTGTCATATCCCATGTAGAACTGCTGGAAAGCTCCTCTGTACACTTGTGAGAGAACAAGAGGGAAGAAGACAAATAATACTTGATCATTTAGATAAAAATAGCTTTGACCTAGTTTTGAAAGGATCTCTGGGACACTCTGAGTTCCTGGAAGACACTTTGAGAGCTGCTGTTGAAAGGGAAAGGTGCTATTCTTCTTTCCCAGTTGATGGGAAAGCAGCAACTTGAGGAAGGAGTATGGTGGGCAGAATGTCAAGAGGAACTCACTGCTAATCCCAAGAAAGTGCCCGTGAGATTGGGGAAGCGGCAGAAAAAATCGGGTTTAACCCCATTTCACCATTGAACCCTTTGGGTCTACAAAGACAGATTTCAAATACTGGAGCTTGGTGGGAACTTAAAGATCACATGAAAAGAACTTCATTCTAAAAAAAAATGTTGACTCGATGACTAGTTATTGGTGAAGTCTAGCCAATAGCTGGGGTGTAGCCCAAACACAGAATGATGGGCCTCCTAAGAAACAGGAGGAATGGAGTGTGTCTCCATCACCCATACGACTTCCCTTTTTTTTAATTGCTGAATTCTTCACTCTCCAGCAGCACTGGGTCCCATCCAGTGAATATATGTTCTGCCGGCCACTTAACAAACTTGAGCTGTGGTTTCAGGATGATAAATAATTATGTTAATTAACAGGTTGGAGGAAAAATATGATGTTATTCCTGTGGAATGCTCTGAGAAGCTGGAAACACTTAACTGCAAAAACTACATGTGGTGAAGTAACCAATAATTTGCTTAAAAAACCCACATCTGGTTTGCTGGCTCAAAGTAGGGGTTAATAGTCGTTCGAGGGCGGCCAGTGGTGAATAGGGGTCCCAGGATAAACAGTCAAACCTTCACAGCAGGAAATACGCTTGTTCTGAAGCACAAGAATTTACGTTGGCTTCTAACCAGAATGAAACGTAAAAGGAATTGTTTGGTTTGCCTCTTGCTTTCTCCTCTTTACAACATAGAGTTCAAGAATATCTTTCTCATATTTGTACACTTGGAAATGGAAAAGAGTTAGGGAGTAGTCGAGGGAGAATAATAAAAAAAAATATTTTCTCCAAACTTCCAAAAGGATACAGCAAACACACCACAGCAGTGAAGAAAGAAAAGTGAGTTTGAATCATATGCATAATTACTTATCATAATAGATATGCTGATTTGATAAATATTTATTGAGCATCTTCCTTGCACGAAGCATGGATATGAGTGTTATAACTAATACACAGGTGAGTAATATGTGGTCCCAGGTCTCAAGGGGAAAAGAGGTAAGTAGAGAGACTTAGTATGTACATATATACAATATGTGCATAGTACATATCTCAGTGTGACATGTGTCATTGAAGAGAGAGTACTTTATTTCAATACTATAAGAGGTTCAGAGGAAGGACACTTCATGTAAGATTGGACGAGTTTGTGAAGGTTTCCTGTCAACAGTGGTATTTCAGCTGAGGCATAAAAGATGACGAGGATCCGACAGATGGAAATAAAGGCAGAATGGCATTGGGATGGAAAGCATCAGCACACACATAGCATCTACAGATGGAAGTAGAAAAGTAGGGGATGGTGAATAAATCCATTTGACTAGAGTGTAAAAGAGATGTAAAGAGTTTGGGGAGGTTAAGCAGAGAAAAGTCAAAATTGGAGGTGCCCATTGGAATACTGATCTGACAGCAGCGCTGTGTATGACAGACTGGAACCGAGCAAATCTGAGGACCAAGATGGGGCTCAGGAAGATAGTCTCCTGATGAACCAGGAAGTCTTTACACAGGTGCTATGGTTGACCATCACCCACTAGGTATGTATGTGACTGATGGGATATGAGGGCCAAGGTAGTTAGACAGTTGAAGGTATTCTCCTAGGCTCCATCTACAGAGACTAAAGGAATGTGCTCAAATTTCTGAGCTGCCAGATAGACATATCCAGCCGGTGGTTAATATTAGGATACAGAATCCAGACAAAACTGTAATTCAGAAAGATACATGCACCCTTATGTTCATAGCAGCACTATTCACCATAGCCAAGACATGGAAACAACCTAAATGTCCATCAACAGATGAATGGATAAAGAAGGTGTGATATAGATAGGTAGATAGATAGATAGATATAGATATAAATATAAAATGGAATACTACACAGCCATAAAAAAGAATGAAGTAATGTCATTTGCAGCAACATGGATGGACCTAGAGATTATCATACTAAGTGAAGTAAGTCAGAAGAAGAAAAACAAATACTATATGATGTCACTTATATGTGGAATCTAAAATATGACACAAATTTATCTACAAAACAGAAACAGACTCACAGATACAGAGAACAGACTTGTGGTTGCTGAGGGGGAGATGGGGTGGGGGAGGGATGGAGTGGGAGTTTGGGATTAGCAAAGGCAAACTAGTATATAGAGAATGGATAAACAACAAGGCCCTACTGTATAACACAGGGAACTTTATTCAATATCCTGTGATAAACCATAATGGAAAACAATAAAAAAAGAATATGTATTTGTATACCTGAATCACTTTGCTGTACAGTAGAAATTAACACAACATTGTAAATCAACTATATTTCAATTTAAAAATTTTTTAAATTAGGATATAAAGGCCAAAAACCATGAAGGGATGGAGTACATTTAGGGGTCAAGATAAGGAAGAGCAGTCATTACAAGGAAAGAATAAGAAGCATTGACCTTGGGTCCACTGTGACCTTCATCCAATCCCCTCCACACCGCAAGTCAGATCTGAGCTACACATATCTGACACTGGCAATGCCCAGCATTCAACTGCTAAAGGCATCCCAATGGCTTCTCATCACTCTTAGGATAATACCAAATTCAATGGCCTACAAACCCCCACAAGTTCTGATCCTCACCTACCTCACCACCCTCTTCCTCCCTCTGCACTTCAGCCCCAGTGGCCATCTTTCCATCCCCGGGCCTGCTAGTTTCCTTCCCTCCTCAGGGCCTTTGCCCTGCCTGAGAACATTTTCTTTCCTCTTTTCACCTAGTTGCCCTCTACACATCATTCACAATTCAGTGGTCACTCCTCAGGGAAGCCCTTTATACTTCTCTGATTGGGTGGATCAAATCCTCCCACTAAATCCCCTCCTAGCACCTTATGTTTTCCCTTTCCAGAACTTATCATAGTTGCAACTATACATCTTTCTGCAAAATTATTTGGCTCATACTGACTCCGCCAAGAAGCTGTAAGTTCCTGGGCTTCCCTGGTGGCGCAGTGGTTGAGAGTCCGCCTGCCAATGCAGGGGACACGGGTTCGTGCCCCGGTCCGGGAAGATCCCACATGCTGTGGAGCAGCTAGCCCCGTGAGCCATGGCCACCGAGCCTGTGCATCCGGAGCCTGTGCTCCGCAACGGGAGAGGCCACAACAGTGAGAGGCCCATGTACTGCAAAAAAAAAAAGAAGCTGTAAGTTCCTAAGAACAGAGTCACAACTGCATCTTTATTCTCAGCAGAGTTTCTGGTCCATAGAAGGCTCTAAAAGCATAGTTGTTGAGTGAATAGATGTTAAAGTAGGATATAAAAATGCTCTGACCTGCATTATCTCATTTGATCTATGAGGTAGATATTATAAGCCAAGTTTTACAAACAGATAAGCTTTAAAATGCACATCTTGCTCAGCACCAGATAGAAGTTAATGGCAGTGTTAACTGACTGATTATTTTTTTTTAATAGATCTTCATTGGGGTATAATTACTTCACAATACCATGTTAGTTTCTGTTGTACAACAAAGTGAATCAGCCATATGCATACATATGTCCCCATATCCCATCCCTCTTGAGCCTCCCTCCCACCCTCCCTATCCCACCCCTCTATGTCATTGCAAAGCACTGAGCTGATCTCCCTGTGCTATGCTGCTGCTTCCCACTAGCTATTTTATATTCGGTAGTGTATATATGTAGATGCTACTCTCACTTTGTCCCAGCTTCCCCCTCCCACACTTTGTCCTCAAGTCCATTCTCTATGTCTATATCTTTAATCCTGCCCTGCAACTAGGTTCATTAGTACTATTTCTTCTTTTTAGATTCCACATATATGCGTTAGCATACAGTATTTTTCTCTTTCTGACTTACTTCACTCTGTATGACAGACTCTAAGTCCATCCACCTCACTACAAATAACTCAATTTCATTTCTTCTTATGGCTGAGTAATATTCCATTGTATATATGTGCCACATCTTCTTTATCCATTCATCTGTCGATTGACATTTAGGTTGCTTCCATGTCCTGGCTATTGTAAATAGTGCTGCAATGAACATTGTGGTACATGTCTCTTTTTCGATTATGGTTTTCTCAGGGTATATGCCCAGTAGTGGGATTGCTGGGTCATATGATAGTTCTATTTTTAGTTTTTTAAGGAACTTCCATATTGTTCTCCATAGTGGCTGTATCAATTTACATTCTCACCAACAGTGCAGGAGGGTTCCCTTCTCACCACACCCTTTCTAGCATTTATTGCCTCTAGATTTTTTGATAATGACCATTCTGACCGGCATGAGGTGATACCTCATTGTAGTTTTGATTTGCATTTCTCTAATAATTAGTGATGTTGAGCATATTTTCATGTGCCTCTGGGCCATCTGTATGTCTTTTTTTGGTGAAATGTCTATTTAGGTCTTCCGCCCATATTTTAACTGGATTGTTTGTTTTTTTGATATTCAGCTCCATGAGCTGTTTGTGTATTTTGGAGATTAATCCTATGTCTGTTGTTTCATTTGCAAATATTTTCTCCCATTCTGAGGGCTGTCTTTTTGTCTTGTTTATGGTTTCCCTTTCTGTGCAAAACTTTATAAGTTTAATTAAGTCCCATTTGTTTATTTTTGTTTCTATTCCTGTTACTCTAGGAGGTTGGTCAAAAAAGATCTTGCTGTGGTTTATGTCAAAGAGTGTGTTTTCCTCTAAGAGTTTATAGTGTCTGGACTTACATTTAAGTCTTTAATCCATTTGGGGTTTATTTTTGTGTATGGTGTTAGGTAGTGCTCTAATTTCATTCTTTTGCATGTAGCTGTCCAGTTTTCCCAGCACCACTTATTGAAGAGGCTGTCTTTTCTCCATTGTATGTTATTTGTTATTGCCTCTTTGTCATAAATTAGGTGCCCATATGTGCTTGGGTTTACCTCTGGACATTCTATCCTGTACCATTTATCTGTATTTCTGTTTTTGTGCCAGTACCATACTGTCTTCATTACTGTAGCTCTGTGCTACAGTTTGAAGTCAGGGAGCCTGATTCCTCCAACTCTGTTTTTCTTTCTCAAGATTGCTTTGTTTATTCGGGGTACTTTGTGTTTCCATATGAATTGTAAATATTTTTGTGCTAATTCTGTGAAGAATGCCACTGGTAGTTTGACAGGGATTGCATTGAATCTATAGATTGCTTTGGGTAGTAGGGTCATTTTCACAATATTGATTCTTCCAATCCAAGAACATGGTATATCTCTCCATCTATTTGTATCATCTTTAATTTCTTTCATCAATGTCTTATAATTTTCTGCATACACGTCTTTTGTCTCCTTAGGTAGGTTTATCCCTAGATATTTTATTCTTTTTGTTACAATGGTAAATGGGAGTGTTTTCTTAATTTCACTTTCA